CTTTGTTTCTTTCCCAAGTATTACCTGCTTTGGAGCCTACTTGGTGAAACAGTGCCTAAGGCCACTAAAACGCCCGTAACTCTGCTTCCCACTGATATGTGCACACCAGACACTCTTGCAAAACCTCAGCCATGAGCTCTCAGCTTCGCACAAGAAGCAGCAGAAACATGTAGGTGTAGAAACCTCAAAGTCAAACATGAAGCAAGGGAGGTGTTAACCACAAGCAGCACTCTCTTTAGCAAGTGCACGTAGGTTCCCAACAGGAGGCTGGAGACAGCATGCACAAGAAATTATATGCTATAATATTTTGTACCTGCAGCCATCACCACATCAAACCCCAGACTAACCCTAACAACTTGAGAAAGTCGCTGGAGCAGTCAGTGGGTTGCTTTTCTAAACAGACCTTTTATATAGTAATACAATTTCAGCTTTGGAGGAGAGGAAGAGAGCAGTGTTCTCATGTCAGTGTCTCAATCAGATTATGTTTAATTCCTCCTGCTTCCACTTATCCAAAATTTGGCTTTGGCCCTTCACTCTGTGACACATGAATCCTAGCATCAAATGAGACTAAATCATTCTGAACAAGTTCATTCAAAAGTAGCGTGTAAAGATCAACAATAACAATGAACTCGGAAACTGATACATCAAATCCTGTTTGTTTTGAGCATGAGTTCATCTGTAGGTGCCCTCTGCCTGTTCCAAATGGCCACAAAATGTGGCATTTGAAGAGCTGTATTGTTGCATTTTAATGGTAGCTAATAGGATAACTGACTTTGTAACATTCTTTCACACATTAAAGCTCCTCTAGAAATAACATTAATACAAAAATTTAATTAACATAATTCATTGCTGAAAAAAAATCCTAAAACCTGCCCTTGGAACAGGTTCCTGTACTAAAAATAAGACAGAGCCCCACACAGCCACAGCACAATTCATTTATTAGCATATCTTGTGAGTCATTGGTTTTGATCCAGGGGACATGACAGTTTTGGCACTAGACTGATTTCAGAGCTACTCAGGCCCTTGTTAGTAGAAAGGGTTTTTAATAGGACTGAGTGGGCTGAACAAATGTTCCTTCTTGATGTGGGGAATTAAATATTTTCTTGAATAAGTAAAAACATAGCCCAAGCCCTTGCTCCAGGTCACAGTGCCTCATCTCACCGGGAGCAGTTCCAGGCTGGTTACCTTCAGTGAGCATTCTATTCCCATGCCCACATTTTCTAGCTGCAAGGAACTCCCAGAAAAGCTAGCAAGAAGATGTTATATATTGCACTGCAGTTCATCTACTAATAACCTTCCTCTTACATACATTAAAATGTATCTTTAAGTGGTTGATGGATCACCACAATTACTTTGGGGGTGAAGAGTCTTCAGGATATTGGCTTCAGAAAGTAAGGTAGACAGATATAAAGCAGACCCATGTTCCTAGTTCCTAACCAATCCCTCCACTAATACCTTTGAGTAACTGATTTGTTATTCTCTGCTAGAAAGGTACAAGGATTACAGGAGTAATTGAAATCCTGTTCAGGTTCATAAATAGCTGCCTGATTAATTACAGCATGGAACATAATTCTCATAAATCATCTGAAAAGCATTCAGCTACAGGAAATGGATAAATCTTTAATCCAGCTTCAACTGGCCAAAGCCTGGACTGGTGTCAAGACAGGGCTGATGAGGGCACCCATGCAGCCCCTAGAGGGCAGGAAGGCACTAGCACTGGGTCCACCTTTGTAGAGCACCGGGGTAGGAAGAGGGCTAACAGAAGCCCTGCTAGGTGCTCCTTAGATACTCTATCTAACAAATGCTCCCCAGTCAGAGTGGCACTGTTTTTCATTCAATCAATATGCACCACACTACTGCAGGAACTTGTCTTACAAAGCATCCCCATAGCGCATCGCAGATGCCAGTAACTGAACTGTCAGTTCCTGGAAGGGAAGTACGAGCATTAGCCTCAACCAGACAACAAATGCTGCTAAGGGCTCATCAGGTACCCCCTGCCCAGAGCCACGTTCTGTTCCACAGATATACCTACAGCAGCTGGCTGTGCTTGGAGGGGCTGCTGCACCTGCCAGAGACAGCGGGTGAATCAACCTTGATTGGTTTTTACCTTGCTGTAGATGGCCTGCTACTAAAACGACACCAGCAAGTTAAAAGCTAGCATACATACATAATACACACACAGCGCTGAACACCTACAGCATTGCCCACTATTGAAAATACTGAAAGTAATCAGCAGATGGCACATCTTCCCCTGTTTTCAGTTCTGGTTATCAAAGCTTAAAGACCCAGCAGAAAGAATAGGCATGGAGAGACAGCTCGTATGTTATCAGGTACCTAGGCAGTTTGGAATGAAGAGAGACAGAGAAGCCACAGTTTTCAAAAGATTGTTTGCAGCGTAATGGACAAGAGCATAAAGCAAGGCCTCTCATTTCCTCTCATAGCTGAGAACACAAGGATAGATGGGATTCAGTAAAAACAAAAGGCAATTCATTCAGGATCTGTAAAAAGACAAATGTACTGTGGAGAATGAAATTATATTTGTTCTCATTATCAGAAAATACTGAGGCTGTAGAACTTAGTTGGATTAAACGAGAGATTAAACATTTATGTGAAAGACGAAGGATGTTTACAGTAAACTTTTTTTTTTTTTTAGTTTGGGATATAAACATTGATACTTCAGAAAAGAAAAAATCATGAAAGTATAGCATGTAGTGTTTGAGCAATACCCGGAGGGACAAGTACTAGTACTTTTGATTTGAACAGTGATAGCAATGCAAGTAATTAACATAAATGGTCCAAGAACAAAATTTCCCAGAAAAAAAGAAAAAGGCTGTTAAAACTTGTTCAGTACAAATGGACATGCACTGTGCTTTGAAATATCTGCTGCTGGCCAACATTAGGTACAAAATACAACTCTGGAGTGGCCAAGTGCTGGTCTTCTGATCAGATAATTCCAGTAATCCCTTGTGGCAAAGCATGTGAGTTTGGTTTGGGCCACAAAGAGCAACAGTGATGTTCTGAACAGGTTAGGACAACTCAGAAGCATGTTTGCAGGTTTGCTTAGCACAAGTAAGTGTAAAACTAGGTGAGGTAATTCCTCCCTTCCTCCTAGCTCATTCAGGACTCACTGAATGTTAACTACAGTGATCCTCACAGCTTTCATGGTGACAAAATCCAGGGGAAATATTCTGAATTGGGACATGGGAATCACAGAATGCTGTGCCAGGTCTGTCTCACTTATGTTGCATAGGCATTTTTTCTAACTCTTGAATGGCAACGAGTTAAGTAGGCTTAGGGAAAAAACCTTCAATCCTTTCTGTATTTCTAAGCCTGTTGGGGTTATGAGTATAAGCTAGAAGTTCAAACCAGGTTAAACTAGAGGTGTGACAGCACTGTGTTTGAGCTGATGTAGCATTCAGGCTTGGGGGAGGCTGAAAGTAAAAATTAAATCCCTCCCCATTTCCCAAACAGGTATTGTTACTGCCACTCTGGAATGGACAGGTCTGTAACATAATTGTCCTTGGTTCTCCTCTCATTTTAATTGCTAAGAGAGAACCAGCAGTCTGCAGCTTGTGCCTAAGGGACTCTCCACCAGCAGTCATGAACAGCACAGGCAGCATGGAGCCAAGCACGGCACCACAAGGACCAAGCCTAGCTCTTCAAACAGAGTTATCAGCACAGGCATATTGCAGACATTCAGCCCTCAAGAAGGGGCACTAATAGATTAGATCTGTCTCAAAGGGCAATTTGCAGGTGTTCTGACATTGCATGTTTCAAAGATTCCTTTAATTCTTTTTAAAAATAAAGTTTCCATGTATGATTTTCAAAGTCCACTGAAGCACTTGTAAGCCAACTGTACAGTGATCGCTGGAGAGGATAAATTAACTGTTTAGTTTAGCATTCATATGCAAAAATCAGACACCTACACAGGTCAGCACTTTTAGATTAAGCTGCTTTGTAGAAGACAAATTAAAACTTCTGGCAATCACTGCTTGTTCAACTCAAGGCGATTTCTAATACACTATCATTACTTGTCCTATCATATGACATAGCTAATCCACAGGTTGTGCTTCCATTCTTGCCTTGATAATTCCCAGGTACCAAACAGCTCAGTGCCTTGAGTACAGACCTTGCAGTCAGCAGGCTAGTGTGAATCCAAAACATGCACATTCGGCAAAAGTTCCATGTGTCTCAGACTGTATTATTACTCCATGTTTGGATCACTGGTTGTGCACCAAGGCTGCTCATGAACAGATCTGTCTTCTCTCTGGTTTGGCTACATGTAGATACCACTGTGAGCTGCACAATTGTTAATGCACTTAGCTCTTCTACTTTTGTATTTTTTCTCCCTACTCAAAAATAATCAATTAACCTAGAGAGTAATTAAGGCCTCAGAGGAGGAAATTATGTCCATTTGTTTGAATGAGAGAAGGAAGAAACTGAAGTGTTCAATAACACTTGTATTGTCTCAGTATTATTTCTGTCCAGCTTGAGAAAGTCTGACCCTAAAACAGTAGTAGCTTGATGGCACTGCTTGCAGACCCTTAAGTCAAGCCAACCCAATCCACTTCCACTGAGAGGAATAAAAAGAGAAACGTAAAAAGAAGAGAGAAAGTGTTGTCCAACAGCTGCACATACTCCAGGAATGAGGAAACTGCTTTGTGCCTCAAGAAAACTACTCACTCTAGTGTTTGTTTGGTGTCTACACTCCAGAGTATTTCCATGCTTCATGGGAGGACTATGAACACAGAGATTTTAAAAGCTAAGATCACAAAGGGCAGTTTATAATGATGATGAATAAAATATCAAGATGAAGTCCCTGCAGGGCTATTAAACTATGAATCAACACCTGAACACTTAACACAACATTTGGTATTAAAGAAAAGTAATGGTGTCTATTCCAGTCACACTGAAGTCACATTTTTAAGTCATTCATAGTAATTACGAGAGCAAGAAAGCTACTGTCTCTTAAAAATGAAGATTTACTCTCACACAAACAATTGATTCCAGGAGACGCTGCTTTATGGAGAAACAAAAAACAAACCACAGAAGAACCACAATTTTGAGAAAGCAGCAATAAAACCGTAGCATCTGACCAGAAATGTGTGGCACAAGGGTTACAGCTGGAGGGACAAGCACCTCTTAGCAGGGACAGACTTTTTAGAATCTAATATTTGGAAGAGAAAAGGTTCCCCCTAGAGACATAACAGGGGAAAGAAAAAGGCCAATTGTTAGCCTGCTCCTCAGCTCAGGTCAAATCTTCTCATTTCTGGAATGGAAGAGAGACATGTTATGAAAAAGTATGCCAGAGCTTGGCAGCAACTTCCAAGTATCTCACCTCTCTTTGCAGTGTTTTTCAAGTGTGTGAACATACAAAAACTGGTGAACAGATTTACAGAGACAGGCATATCTTCATTTCTACCATTTCTGTGTGTTGGGCCAAAGGAATAAGCATTGATCGCATTACAGGACTCAAACAGTCAGAGCAACACAGGCTAATTTGTCCTACCAGTGTGCACTTGCTTTGTCTGCTCAGAGATGAAGAACTAAAGTGAGACCAAAACATCAACCATAGCTGTTTTTCTCCCAGTTCTATGTTAAATTATGTTCTCAGTGTCCAAATGACAACATACATTTCCACCAGTCACAGGCCAGAAGCCACAGCCTTCAGCTGTTGCAGGGAGAAGGACAATACGTTGAAGTTCCTGGGGCTCAGACATTTTTATTTTAGCTTGGTCACTTTCTTGATCCAGGATACATATCTGCTGACCTTTGTGTACACACCAGGGGAATCCTTCCGACCACAACCATAACCCCAGGAAGTGATTCCCAAAATGATCCAGCGTCCATTTGACTTCTGACACATGAGTGGCCCTCCACTGTCACCCTGGCAGCTGTCCACTCGTTTGTCTTCAGAGAGGTTCCCAGCACAAATCATGCGGTTCGTGAACTTCTGCCCATAACGGACCTCACAGTCTTCCCTTGGCAGAAGAGGCACCACCCCCTGCAGTAGTGTTCTTGAATAAGACTTTCCTGGAACAGAACAGACCAGCTAAACCAATTCACATACAGACAACAGCAGCAACCTAGAGCAACAGTTCTCTGCACAAAAAGAGATACTTGTACATTTCACATCAAGACCGTGGCACAGAATTAGGCCAAACTCAGCATCTCTGAACAACCAGAACTTCAGAGAACTGCAAAACCAGACCGCAAAAAAGAGCTGTAACATCAAAGAAACAGGGAAGAGGTTGGAGAAAGGGGATAGATCAAAGGATGAGTCTTACTCCTGGTTCTGCCAACAAATAGCTTGAACTTTGTTCAGCTTATTTCACCTCTTTGAGCCTTCATTTCTTTCTCTCTAAAATGACAGTGTTTTCACAAATGAATAAATAAAGTAACGTTTGTGAAATGCTCAATCCTCAGAGAAGTTTTGGAACACATTTCAGAAGCATCCAAATATTATTCAAAGGGAGCTTACCTCATCTTTGGCCAGACTTATCTCTATTTGCTCAAATCTTGGTTACTACAGACTTCATCAGAATTTATGGTTCATGTGTTCGAGTGCAAACTTCTGGTGCTCAAGATTTAAAGTAATTTACGGACTTAGAGTAAGTTCACAAGGTAGTTGTTAACTCATTGAGAAAGATGGGTTTGGTGTGTGGGAGAGATTCTAGCTGTTAAGTCCAAGTATAACTTAAAGGAATTACATGACTAAATTGCTCCTTGATCCTCTGCAGACACCCCAAAGTGACATGTGCACCTTGACTTCAAAGACAAATCTGTATTTTCAATCAAACACTTGAATAACAGCTAGAGAAACAGCTGGAAAGGATGGTTAAGTCCAAAAACAACAGAAAAGCTCCTGAGGCTATTTGTGTTTTGGCAGCAAGTCTTTCTGAACATATGGATTTTCTCCAGTCACAGCAGCCCAGAAAGGCCTCCTTTCCTTAAGCCCTGCTTTGCATCTATGAACCCCAAATGGGAAAGGACTGCACAACTGGTCACAACATCTTACTTAGAGTTCAAAGCTGTCTCCAGACTAATGCATCCATGTCAGAACTCCACCAAGCCCAGCATTTTAAAACATTGCCTTGATTTTACAATTGAGTCATTAATACTTCCTCAAATATTCCCTCCTCCCTTTAACCTAGAAGTTTCAGAGTAATGTTGTGCAAAATGGCACATACAAGTTGTCTCAAAGCTTGTGCAGAAACCAGTGTCAGAGCCCAGCTATCCCAGGAACAATATCCAGGGAGATTCATCACAGTGGCCAGACTTCCAAGAAAGGTCACCTACTGTACAGGAAGAGCACTTTGTCTCACTACCCAGGCACATGCTCTTTACAAACAAGATTTATGAGGAAGACTTCTTCCACTGCAAAGCCCTCACTTTACTACTGTGATACTATAGAGAAGGCAGGAGACCATGGAAACATGGGGACCTCCCTGAACAATATACAGATTTTGTGCACCAGCTCTGCACGTGTCATTGCCTAGGGGCTCTGCTGTGGGCAAACATGGACGTAGAAAGGGGAGAGAAGAAGAGAACTGTGATGAGCTGGCAGCTTTCCTCTCCCTCACAGCTTCAAAAGATTGCTATGGCAACCAAAACTTCCAGCACGGACAGGCTTCAAGACAATCTTAATATCAGAAGAAAACAGTGGCACAAAAATTGCTTTATTTCCTGTTCCTTGACACCATGCACTTGGCACAAATAATAGGAGCATTAAAAACATGGCCTTGAATAGAACAGACATAAAATAATGGTGCTTATAGATTCCTCAGTCCAGATTCTCCCCATCCCTATCTTGCTCCTCAGAGCTTTGTCACTTACCTGTGTCTCCCCAGCCAGAGATGATGCAGGCTTGCCTGTTTATGTCAGACTTCTCTTTCTTATCAGGAAGGCAGATAGGCAGAACGTGGCTATTGAAGGAGAGACAGTGCCCCTCTCTGCCTCGCATTCGGACCAGGGCAATGTCATTATCATTGCTGCCAGCCCAGTAGTTCCTGTGGAGGACAATCCGCTCCACAGGCAGCTCTCTCTCAAACTCATCCTTCACACCTGTGTGGTAGTCACCTACCCGCAGCAGGTAGCGGCGCACATCAACTCCAAACCTAGAGAAAAAGACATGCAATACTTCGATATTTCTACTAACAGAGAATTAGACTCATGCAAGTCTCAATTGCTTTGAGACTCAACCACGTCCTCACAAACTTATAAAGAAGTGCCAGCTACAGAACTGTGGGATCTCTTCCCACAGATGTGATAATACCAGCTGTTACAATCACTATTTACCATGTACAATACTTCTTTCTGTAAAAAGGGCTACAACAGTTGTAATGGGCTTATGGTTTTCTCTTTTCACATTTCCTTAAAGTACTGGAAGATGATTCTATGATTAATAGCAAAATGATGGCTCCCTTTAAGGTGTAAAACCTCAAATTTAAGAAGGCAGGTATAAGCAGAGAGGAATAAAGCAAGCCTAAATTGAGTCATCACCCTAAGTGCTCCAAAATCACAGACATCATAACCTGAAGGTCTTGGTTTAGAAACTTTGTTTATGTGTTTCCATTGGGTTGGGAGAACAACCTCATTTGAGGTTATCTTCTTTGTCTTTGAGAATCCCTTAGAGCTCCCACTTACAAACACACCTTTTGAAGCAGTGGGCTGCAGTCACTACCCAACAACTGCTGATCAGTGTTGCCCCACAGAGCAGACGGGTATCTCTCTGGAAACCCTTCAACCTTAGTGAGGCCTGCCATGGCCAACCACCTCTGAAGAAGAAACAGAAGAACAGTAAGCATCACATACACAGGAGTTGATTGCTTTTCCCATTCACTCTGCCCTACCTGAGCTCAGCTGACAAGCATTCTCCCCTAGATAGACCATTGGTTCAAATGAAGTTAGGAAAGCTGGAACCTGTCCTGGCTTTCTCAGCAATTACCTGAGAGACTTGTTTCCACCTATGATCCTTTTCTTGCGACGGTGAAGCAGGCGCATGCCACACACACTGGACTCTGGACCTGCATAGTAAAGTTAGCACCGTTGGAGGATACTTCAGCTTTAAGTATCAACAACTGCTGTCACAGAGCCAAGATATCACTCCTGTCCCCTGAGGGCATTAATCCTCCTGGTAGTTGACTGCATTGTGTAGTGCAAAAGAATTTATATAAGATTTGTTCCCAATGGTTTCCTCAGTTCTAGTGGAGGTGCTTACCTCCAGAATCTGTAGTCCTATGGCAAGAATTGGACCTTTACAACTATTTCTTCAGTGCTCCAAAGCCCAAAGTTTGCTTATAGTTACTGCTCTAAGGAAGAGTATAATGATATGACTCAAGGGAAGTTCTGCAGGCTCAAAGACCTGACGTGGTTAGAGCTTCTCCGACTAGTCTAGACTGGAAGAGACAGTGAAAACAAAGGAAGAGTAACCAGGAGCTGCAAGAGAGAACATGCCTATTTTCTAATTAAAGTTTCAACCAAAAAAGATAAAATCTACAGTGAAAAAGCATGCAGAAATCCTAAATCTTGAGCCCCAGATTTCTGCGTAGAAGAAAGGGCACATCACCTGTTCTCCTGATATCTTGAACCTTCTCTTCCACATAGTCACAAATCACACCAGCATCTTCACTGTGCCAGCAACTGTGAATCCCAGTATCAGGCCTGACACATTGCCCCAGGGCGTGCTCTGTGCCTCTACACTCTATACTATCCAGATGGATGGGCCCTTGGCCTTCACCAAAATAAGCCATTGCCCTGGCTTTTGCTGCACCACTGCAATGAGAAAGAGAATGGCTAATGTACATTAAGAAAGAGGCAGGTGAAACTGATACACCAGCATGCTTTAAAGAGAAATTACAAGGGAAATGAATCTTCCAGAAACAGGTTCAGAAATAAGTATTCCTCCTGAGAGCAATTTGTATTTGTAAGATGCATGTACCAGTTATCTTACCTGAACCCCAGTTGCCTGCAAACTACTGTAGCATCTCTATCTGTCCAGCCATCATCACAGATGCTGCCCCACTGTCCATTCAGGAATACTTCAACCCGTCCCTCCTTGGTGCTTTCTCCATCCACCAGCCGCACAGGAGGTCCTACAAGAAAAAACACAGGGGTTGCTGCAAGCAAAAATACCAAAGAGCACAAGGTGCCCAGAACTTACTTCTTATAGGAAAAACTGAGGAGATGAGGAGGAGACAAGAAGGAGAGGAGTGGTGATCTATTTGACAGCCATGTCCCTCATTTCACTTCCTCGCAAAATTGGTGCATATTAATTTATTAAATACACATTGGAAATCATTAGATTATATTTCTGAAAGCTAAGTAAAGAGGAGAACAAGAGCAGAAAGAAAGTTATTAACTGCTGAGCCAAGAGCGGACAAGCTTAAACATGCCTTGGAAATAAATCCATTAAATTATAAAAACTATTACATTATTCTAGGCAAGAAAAGTGTTCTACATCCAGGAAAAACAACATAAAAAAATTGGATTGTGTATATTTGAATTTAAAAAAAAAAAAAAAAAAGGATGTCAAATTGGAAAGTTTCTTGCAATCGAGAAAATAGACCAGGCCTCATACAAACAAAGGGACCATCAACATAGTTCTCTTCAATCTCCATCTCTCTACAGGTCTGGCTATACATCTTGAAGAACCACAGCTCTATGGCTCTGCCCCTAAACAGCCAGGGCTTATTCCTATGAATCCTTCTCAAAAAACAGTTCTAATTGAGGCAGCACAGAGAAAGATCCCACATCTGCCAAAATTTCCAAAGTATCAGACCAGAAAGTGATGTTTTCCCTCTGTCCAGAGCAAGGTGCAAGTTAAGTTACCCAGGCTGCCAGTGACTGTGTTGCTCTCAGGGGAACAGTGGACTCCCACATCCTCAGCATGTGAGCAGTCATGCTGCCCCCAGTTGCTATGAGGACAGTCCAGGAGGGAGAGTTCTGTGCCCACACAAGCCACATCATCCAGCAAGATAAAGCCTTGGCCAGCAGCATAGTCCGCTTCAGAGGCCAGGGTAGCAGGCCCACTAGAGGAAAGAAACAGAATGTAACATGAAAGTCATTTTAACTTACTCATCCCACAGAGTGTCCCAAACTCAAACCAAAAGGAAAACTCACCTGGAGACATCTGGTGGTCTCTCTACTTAAGCTACTCAGTGATACATTGGACAACAGCCAATCAGCTTGCACACCTCACCAACTTCAGCTTTCAGAGAGACCATTAAGAAATCCCTACCACTACCTTTTTTGTCCTAATATTCTTCCTTCAAGTACCAAAGCAGGTCATATAGTTTAGCAGCAGTGCAGATAGCTGATACTGTTTAGCAGGTGATAAAGCTTAGCTGACAGAGCAGACAGGGTGGTAGTGCTGAGCTGATACAGCTCGAAATTTAAGAAATAGTAAGAAAAAATTCTAACTTTGGTGAGGGATTCATTAAGACAGTATTAAGCCTGTTATCTACTTTCAAAATAGGTCAAAGAGAGAAATAATTAAGATAGATACATATATTTATTTTGTCCTGGGAAAGGATGTGGACACTTATTCTTTTCTGAATGAAACTGAGTAACGGTAATAACAAAGACAGTACTGAAGGAAGTAACGTTCAGCCCATACCGGTAATGGGGAAATAGAATCTAAACCTTCAAATTAGGAAGTACAGATACTACAAATGCTCTCAGTCCTACCTGAAGCCCAGCTGCCTGCAGACCACCTGGGCACTGAGATCTGTCCAGCCATCATCACATACTGTGCCCCAGTCTCCATTGTAATAAACTTCTACCCTGCCTTCGCTGGGGCTGCGACCACCAGTCAGCCTTACAGTGCCCTCTGCAAGGGGTAGGAGAAGGAAAGATCAGCACTCAGAAAGGGAGAGAATAAACAGCCAAGACCCACTGCTGAAGACTCTCTACAGCCCATGACAGGAAGAAACCAAAGACAGTTACCTAAGGATACTCAAAAAGCAAACATATCTCAGTCTTTCCATACCTCAGCATTTCCACCTTGTCTGGCTCTGATTCATTTCTACCTACGTTATACAGGAGCAAAGCTGCATCTGACTGGTACAGAACTGTAAGTATGTACCTGTGAAAGGGTCACAGGAGACACCAGCATCTTCAATATGGTCACAGTTTTGTTGTCCCCAATCACTCTTCTTGCATTGGTCAAGTGACAGTTCATTGCCTGAACACTCCACTTCATCTAGCAGGATGGGGCCAGATCCCTGACCATAGTGAGCCCATGACAAGGCTTTCGGGTTCCCACTGCAAGAGATACATGAAAATTCAGTAAGGAAGGTCACAGTCTGGTGCTCTTGAATTCTGTGTTTCCCAGAGTCTCTCCTACACTAGTCCTTCCATAGCTAATCTGTATTTCTTACACAGTAGTGTTGTCAACTTTTAACCAATATATCTCACTGGAAAGTTTTTTAATATGATTTGATGACAATGATGTCTCAATCTCAGTGAAAGGCAAAACTCCCAAAGTAGGAAGGATCTCAAACCTGACTCAGCTACTTTGAGCAATTATGCAGATTTGATTTGGTATACAATAGTTCCTTGCATTAAGTGCCGGATAGCATAGAGAATGAGGTGCTCTCTTGCTTTCCCTGAATGAAGAGGATAAAGACAGCCAGTGAAACTGAAGGTGTTTCAATTTACACAAGTAAATGACTTCATTTCACCTGTGGAAGTCACCACAAGTTAGCACTGCAGCCATGAATACATGCATTACAAGCATGTAAAAATAATGAACAGGGATAAACACAAACATTGGATAGGGTTATACCAACTCTTTTTTACACAGCATAAACCCATAAAACTGACTGACTTAATTAAGTACAAAATCCCACAATAGGATGTTAAGTCTGGAAATATCTTCCCCAAGATTTTCTTACCCTTCCATAGAAAGGAATGGTGCTATATGGTGAAGACAGATGCTCTCACATTCTTTATTCAGACTACTTCTATTACTGCACCATGTGAACAGCACGGAAAGTACCTGAGTCCCAGCTGCCTACAAACTACTTCAGCATCACGGTCATCCCATTGGTCATCACAGATGGTACCCCACTTGCCATCGTGGTAAACCTCCACCCGTCCTTCAAAGCTCTCCTTTCCCCCAACTAAACGCAATGGAGCACCTACACCTGTGTTTCAAAAAAAGGAAAAAAGAATAAAACAGAGCAAGATAGAGACAAGGTACATATAGCAGTTAAGGACATAGAACTGTTCACCAGCCAGAGCCACTTCTGGGACTCTCTTGTTCCATTCTACCATTTCCTCCCCTCCAAACCCTCTAGAAACATCCATGACTGCAAGCCACAGCAGGAGGTACCACTAGTCCAGGGATGGCTCTGTAAGTGCCTGCTACAATGACCAGGACTTTGCTGCCTGTGAACAAAAACCTGTTTTGAATGAAAAGGGATGTGGTCATAAGCAACAGCCATCTTTCAGTGATTTTAGAAGTATGCTCACTGAGTAATTGGGTTTTGGAAAAAATACATTATTTTCCACTGGAAGGAAAGTAATCACCATCACAGCAGGTGAAAGAAGAATATGCTCCAATGATTTACTCTCCACAGCATCACGATCTCAGATTTAGTATCTTATTAGCAACACTAGATTCCAAGTAAACTACGCACAAGAAAAAGGGAGTGAACCTCCCTTTGGAGATTTACCTTCTGGAGGGACACATGTTACCATGGCGCTTCCCTGGTTACAAGTTCCTGACACAGCTTCCTGATAGCCACACTGCAAGAGGGTTTTCTCATCCCCATGGCAGTTTGCTGACTGCAGGTGCAGGGGAATAGGCCACAGTCCAGGACGATTCTTCTTTCCAGCTGTGCCAATCTCACTGGTGTGGAGAATGCAACAGAATGATGAAACTGTTGTACTGCTTAACTCAGTCTTGTTTTCCAGCCCAACTGTGGCATTTCACGTCTTGCGAGCCCAATTAAGTGAGAGCTTAAAGGCGTAGCCATTTCCAGACTAAGCAAGCAAGCATGTAGTACTTTCCCCCCATGTAATACATTCTATCTTCCCTGCAGCAGAACTGATCTGGTCAGAAATGGTGCCCTCATTGGAGAGTGATAAACAAACTCATGAACAGTCTGTAACATGGTCAGCACATCTAAATATCTGAATCAAATTCTTCTTTCTCTGTGGACCTAATCTCTTTTTCTTTGGAAGACTGAAGGTCCAAATAAGAGATTCCCTAAGAGGGTTCATAGTTGCAACATTTTCTAAAAGATCAGTACAGTAATACTCAAATGATAATATTAAAAATTGAATCACTCAACACAGCCTTGAATATCAAGCTTTAGAAACAACTGTTCCTGCAAATGCTGACTGGGGTTAGGTATAGCCATGGAAAGAAAACAGGTGCAAAGGACCCTAGCAAGTGGGAAATCAGTCTACAGGACAAACTCCTCCCCCACAGCCTACATATTACTCCAGAAGGACAGTAATTAATGAGGCTGTTCTCTCAAAGAACCAATGAAAACGTAACACCCCAAGCCACACTGAGGTTCCCACCTGAGACCTAGCTGCCTGCAGACAACACTGGCATCCCAGTCAGTCCAGAGGTCAGCACAGATGGTACCCCAGAGTCCACCAAAGTACAGCTCCACACTGCTATCTTCAGCCAACCGCACAGCACCTTCCAGGAAAAAGAAAAAAAAAAGACATTTCAGATCAGCAAGTCTTGGACTTTTGAGTGTAGCTGAGCTGAATCGGACCCAATTCCTCACATCCTACACTACACACTTGATCTTAGCCTAAAGGCCAAGAAGCGATCCTGTTTCGTGGTGCTTTCTCTGACTTGCATGAAGTAGTGTAAGGGTGTGGCAGGCACACAGCACACGTATGCTTGTTGTATCCCTCACTTTAATGAAGCTATCTTTGAACAGAGAAGCACTCTGAATAGTACTTACACTGTTGAAGGAAGATATTTGTCATCTCATTTATTACCCATTCTGCAAAATGCAGTTAAAGTCAACAGATGAGGACAAACACAAAAGCATTGCACAAATCAGTGCACGAGAACTTCCTTGCATGCCTCAAAATAAGCAGCAGTCCTTGTGTTGGCACTGCAAGGAATTCTAAAGGAAGCTTAGGACCCACTTTGCAACAGAAGATTTACAAATTTAATCACAGAAGATTTTTCCGTATTTGAGCTGCTACAATTACATGAAGAGAGTTCTGATATGAAGACTTAAGGAGTTGGAGTGGGTTGTTTTCCACATAACTTAAACTGCTTTCAAAATTACGTAAGTTAACAAAAAAAAAAAAAAAAAAAATTCTCCTTGTATGAGAATAAAAGCATCTATAAAAGACATGGCTATAGCAACTTAGATCCACCCCCTAGTACATACAGACATCTTTCTCTCACACAGGCTAGCTTTTAGTCCTAATTCTTTAGACAAACTGGGATACTTACTGCACCATACTTCTTGCACAAGTTGTCCTAACTGCTACTTACAGGTCTGTGCAGCATCATTTCTGGCCTTAACCCCTTAAGACAGAATAGACTGTCAGATAGGAAACAGTCTTACCTTGGTTACAGTCACAGTTAGCCCAGCTGATGGCCCCTGATGGAAGCCGGAAGAAGCACCAGGGTGTAGTTCCCCCATCTGGGTTTCTGCAGTGGTTGTGGTTCCCTAAGCCACGGTCTGGGTACTGCTGGACATAATCAGGGAACTCTGCCCAGTTCAGGCACTCTGCCCCAGCCTCAGTGACAGCCAACGAGCCATTGTAGTACCCAAGAGGTCCAATGCCACACCCACTGGATGCTGGACACAGAAAGAAAGCTGTTAGCTATACTTAAGGCATCACACACGGAGGATCAGACAATATCAGACATATGAGTTCATCTCCTGGACCACCTTTTACATCTACAGTCTTGAGACTCTTCTTGAGACCCCTGCTGGAATACAGCATCCAATTCTGGGACCCCCAACACAAGAAGGACAATGAGCAGGTCAGAGGAAGGGCACAAAGATGATTAGAAGGCTAGAGAACTTCCCCTGCAGAGACAGGCTGAGAGAGCTGAGGCTCTTCAGCCTGGAGAAGAGAAGGCACTGTGGGAACTTTATAGCAGCCTTCCAGTACTCGAAGGAGGCCTACAGGAAATCTGGGGAGGGACTTTTCATAAGGGCATGTAGTGATAGGACAAGGGGAAATGGCTTTAAACTGAAAGAGAGTAGATTTAGACTAGATATTGGGAAGAAATTATTTACAGTGATGATGGTGAGATCCTGGAACAGGTTGCCCACACAGGTTGTAGATGCCCCTCTTTGGAGGTACTCAAGTCCAGGCTAGATGGGGCTTTGAGCAACTTTGTCTAGAAGGAAGGGTCCCTGCATATAGGGGGGTTGGAACTTGGTGGTCTTGAAGGTCCTTTCCAATTCAAACCATTCTATGATTCTATGATTATTTTCAGAGCAACATATGAAAAAAAAATGTTCTGAAGATAATGAATTGCTTGGATCTTTAAAATGTGTTAATTGGACTCAAACACAAACAATTTGAACTGGTTCTCATTGCCAGTAATTTCAATAAATATATGCCTTTACTTTGGCTTGCTTTTGAGCCTGGCACAGACTTTTCCCTTTTCCTACCTCCTTTGGACCTGAATATGATGCTCTTAAATTTGATTCTAAGATCTTCAAAAGATTAATTGCCTGTCTTAATTGATTGAGACAGAGAAGAGTTGAAAGTCGGGTGTAATTTCATTCTGTAAATCAGAAAGATGGAAAATGGCATTGTCATTCACTGTACATATGCCTTTATACACATTAGTGTATCACCTCACCTGTCTGAACTTTCCTTTCCTTGGGAAAAGAAAGACAACCAGTTTCAAGGTAGAGCACAGATGCCAGTGTTCCAGGCCAGTGTCTATATAAAAATCTCATGTAAAGAAATCCCAACATTTAATTCAATATTGTCTTAATAGAGAAAAAAAAAAAAATAACCAACCTCTCCAGTCATGACTCTGAAATAAGAAATAAGGAAACTAGAACAAGATTCTGTGTGAGGGTGTGTTTTTTAAGAATGTAGAAAATGTGTAAACTTAAAAAAAAAAAGAAAAGAAAGAATAAGTTATAGCTCCATTCACACACACACACACAAAAAAATCAGAAAAATTCTTCTGCCATAAAGACAAGTATGACAAACAGCAGAGACAAATGACAGCTGAAGGTTAGCTACAAGGTACAAAAGCAACAATCAATTACAGTTAGGTCAGTTAGATGCTTGGAAAACACACTGTGCTCTTTGGATTACCTGGGAGCTTAAGAGAGGAGAACACAAGAATTCAGTACTTACTAGGTGGAGTGAGCATGCAAAAAAAGACTAGGGCAGAAATAGAGATGAAAGAAAAAGAACATGGGGGAAGAACAGAGAAGTGCAAGAGTATTAGACATGATGAAGAGAAAGTTGTTTGGCCATGTTGGTGAAAGAGATAAACATTGAGGCATACAGGATAAAAGAAATGATGGAAAGAAGAGAAGAAAGCCAGATAGCAGTGGTTCATCGTACCTGTGGTCTCAGATCACCACTGCAGGAAAGAATCTGCCTGATGACTGAATTAATAACTTCTTGTTCTTACCTGCACTCTGCAAATGGTTTTGGCTGGGCTGGGATCCCAGGAGAGCCTGGGAAAAGAAACAGAGCAAAAGCAGAGATGATTATCCAATGAAATAAACACGGGCATGTCCTGAAAGCAGCTTGGCCTTTTGCTGCTTTAGGCAAACACACCCTGGTAACCAGCCTCTTCCCTGCTCTCTCCATTGCTCTTCTTCAAATCCAATCACAGCTCTGCCCACTGACAATAAAATGAATAATTGCTGGCCTGCAGAGATTTACCCTTGATCTAAGCACATAACAGGGCTCTGCTTGCTCTTTCCAAGGTTTCAGCCCCAGTGCTCTCAGCAAATAAAATCTGACTCCAGAGTGAGATCTCTATGGAAAGAAAAGTTGGAAAAAAAATCACTGTTATTAGTAAGGAAAAATAATGAATAACTACTCACTCCCCATCCATGCAAAGAATAGGCAATCCATGACCACAGGAGCAAACACAGCTATCTGATGCCCCTTGGGTTCTGTGTTAAGATAGTAATAAACATCCATGTACCAAGTGGAAAACAACTGAAGAAGAAAATCTAGCATGGCTTTTTGAGGATTTTGTTTTTAAATACAAGAGGGTACAAGATTTTGTATGAGACTATTATCCAAATCATGTTAAGTAGCTAAGAACAAAGAACATATTCATACAAAGAAAATGAAGCCCTCATTCTAGCATCTTGTCCATCCCCATATTTACATTTCCTCTTGTAGGCAGTGTTTTTGGTGGTTATAACTTGACTGCTGGTTGAGAGATAGGAATCTCCACTTCAACACATTGCATGGTATGCAGGCAGGTGCAAGACATTCACAGACCCAGAGTAGAAAGAAGAAACTGTACATGCATATGCTAGCTTCATGTAGTTTGTTTCATTTCTAATTACAGCCAGATATATACGAACGAAGAGTTTTAATTCACAGAGCAGAGGTGTGAAAATGAAAAGAATTAGCTACAGAAATGGTTCTGTTTTTCTTCAAAATGCACAAAATTTTGCTTCTCTCAGCCTCAGCTCTCCCTGAAAGACTTTCAGAATTAAACTGAACCCACTTCTGGAATAAGCAGGGATAGTCCCCATAGATACCAGACAAGAACAACACCTATTAATGGCTGATTTAATTTACAGATGAAACTTATATATAATGGTCAGCAGGTGTTCAGAGCTATGGCCAAACTTCATCATCATCCTCTGAAAGTCAGAATATGGCATTGCATATTGAAGATGAATTCCTGACACGGTTCAGAAAGAGTAAATCAGAGCTCAGGTGCAAACGCACAACAGGAAGCATAGATAAAACAGCAATTAACTGACAAACCCTCCTCAGCCAAAAATCCATCTGTCTGCATATATCCAGCTGTTCTGAGACCACATAATGTTCTGTAAACCAACAAGGAACTTTGTGAAGAGAGGAAAGTGAGCTTAGTGACACTTCTGTGACTGCCCAAGATAATACACAGGACAGGTGAGTCACAACCCAAATCCCCTGACTTCTATGTTCTAGTGTGCACTTACACTTGTGAGCTAACATGAGATAGAGGGATGGGTTGCTATAATAACTGGCTGTATGAGAGACTGAACATACTCTTCCTGGAGACTGACCATAAATGACAGAACTTCAGTCCAACTAATATGCTTCCCTTCTAATGAAAAACTAGTTGCTGCCAGTTCCTGTATCAGTTTCCAATACCCCCCAGGAGTCATGATCAACATCACAAAATTTTAGTGCAACTGCCCATTCTGCAGTCACTGCCCCAGCTCTATGGGCTATAAATGGTGTCTGCTCACAACTGCAATAGGGATCACCAGTCTATTGGTAAAGAACAGAAAAAAAGGATGTCTCATGCAAGGGTCACCACAGCGCTTGAGTAACATGGGGAACCTAAGCCAAAGCATCTGCAAGCCCTTCTGCATTCTTCTTTATTTCCATTTATGAATTTCATATGCACAATGAAATAAATCCCTCCCCAAGCCCCCAAGCCCTTCCCAGAGACCACAGCTGCCTAGATTCTTCAGAAAACATATTCAGTAAGAACACAATCCACTCACAATGAGGATATTAAAAATAATAATAAATTATATATATATATATATATACATATAAAAAAAATCTAGATGACTTTTTACAAATAGATAGAGGAATATTAATTTTCTTACCTCCCTGCATCTGAGACATGGCAACAGACTCGAGAGCTCTACCAACAGCCTAAGTACTCTGGGGATCTTCATCCTTCCTGGACAAAGTGGGCAGCAGCTTCAAGCTTCACAGTCTCATCCTGCTGCTGGGCTCAGCTGCTGCCTCCTCTTCTCACTCTCCAGCTCAGTTTCCCGGAGAGCTGGGTGCTTGCCGCTTTGAGGGAGAGGGATGCCCCTTTCATTTCTGCATGGGGAAAGGGATGAAAGGGATCAAAGTTCCCAACAGCATCTTATAATCACTCTCCACGTCCCCTCCCCACCTCTTCTCCTTGATTCTTCCTCTCTTCAGAAAAGGAAAAAGAAGGGGATAGAAGGGAGATCATGTCCCCAGAAACTCTCTATCACCTTTAAAACCAGCAGGAGGCAAGCGCAGACGGGCAGGGCGCAGCCCTCAGCCTGCTCCCGCACCTCCGCTGTCCCCTCCCTTTTGCTCGCTGTCCCAGCCTCTCTCTTGGCTCTAGGTACGCATTTCTCCTGCCCGCCAGCATCCGCCTCCCCACCACGGTCCACCCTGCAGCCCGGCCAGCCGCTCTCTCCTCTCCTGAAATTCCTTCTTTCCACAGTTGACTCTTCCTTCTCTCTCTTTAAGCACAAAAGATGTAGCAGTAAAAAGGGGCTTCCTTCTGCAACAGCTCCAGCAGCAAAACTGAAAAAGGAAACGGCTTGTGCACGCACGCTCGCCAGAGATTATACTTGTTGGAAGGAATCTGGACTTTATCCTCCCACCGCTGCCTCCTTGATTAGCTGCTTGCAGCTTCCTGAGGTCAGACTCTCCTTAGATTTGAACTCAGGTAAATGGTGCCTAGAAAACTATGTTAAGGAGCTTCCAGATTTCCCAAGGAAAAATCAACTCTCAGGGGAGCGTTCCCACTTCTCAGCTCTGCATCTTGCTATCTGGGGTATTGCCTCTTTACACATCAAGTGTTTCTTTGACCTTGGGGCTGTAACATTTTCATTTGACTGGCTAGGGCAATTTCCAGAGTTGAATTATTATTGTATTGCTATCAATTAATCCTAAAGCATTTTGGTGGGCTGTTTCTGGGTTTTTTTTTTGTTTTCTTGGGTTTTTTTTTTGGTTGGTTTTTTTTTTTTTTAAGCCAGTTCATTTTGAACTTACTGCTCCTTTACAAAAAAAATACAACAAAAAATTTAAACATTAATCAAACCTAAGGAGGGGACTTGGTCAATTTTAAATTGTTTAATTTTGGAAATTTCTCACATTTCCTATACTGCTCTGCAGCTCAGTCTAATGGGCATTTACTCCATTTACATTCTGATTATGAAGGGATTAACCCTTAGCATCCTGCAGCATGAACTACGGTCACCTTAAGAAATGAGCTCATTTCTGGCCAAGCTTGCTGAGAAGCATTTTCAAAGAGACTTTCAGCATAAAAACAAGAAACAGGCTGATACAAATCCATTGGCTTGACAAAAAGCCTTTTTTTCCTTTCTCACTTATTGCCCATTAGTCACTTCACATGACAGCTTTGTGTTGCCTCATCTTTAGTCACTCATCAAATGCAATGAAATTCCACTACATCTGGATCCTTTACAGGAGTCACTAAGTGGTAGGAGGGAGCAGTTTGAGTGGATTCGTACCACACTGCATTCTGGACATGATGGATTTGGCCAAGAATTACACTCAGTTAATTAGAAGCAAATCTCCTATATCCCTGTAGCACAGGAGGCAGATGATCAGACCAAGTGGACATGGAAATAGCTTAGAAGCTACAGCATTCTCTAACTCTCAGGTGGCACAAGCAAAAAGAAGCAAAACAAAAAGCAAAGATGGAAATGTGTTGGAATTTTCTAATCACTTACTCCAGTGAAAACATAAGGAAGGAATGTACTGGAAACAATGACAGAAAAACCACTAGCATTCAGAGGACTCTACCCCTGACTGAGGACTAGAGATGTTGTTGATGTCTCTTCCTAACTCCCAAGATGCTCACCTACTCAACTCTTTAGGACTAGAAAAGAACAGCTCTATCTAACATGGACTAATAGGGTTTATAGCCTCTAGCAAAAGTCTGTACTGGATTTCTCTCACAGTAGCTTCCCTCCCTCTTAAGTCAAGGCTTCCCTAGGTATTTTAAAATCCTCCGTGGCAAGTCTGCAATTACTTCCTACTTGCTAAGACCTCCACCTGGTTTTCTGGCACATGGAAGGACATTTCCCTGAAAGAGAGACATTCAAAAAGAGCTTCTCATACTACAATCCTCTCTTCTTCCTTACCCACTTACTCATATTCTGCTGCAATTCAAAGACCAAGAGTTGCTTACACCGAAGGATTTTTGCTACTTATCATAGTTTTACTGGTAGTTATTCTGGCAACAGTCCTTCTTGGACTATCCTGGCTTAAACAACTTTTAAGATACCACAAGCTAAATTCGCCTTGTCTGTGTGTTACAAATTGTCTAAGAAGGAAATTACACCAATATAACTACAGCACTTGAAACACGTTTTCTCTAGATACATGACACATTTAGAATTTCCCTGCATGTGCTTAATCTTATTATTATGAAACAACTGTAATTATCCAGGTCCACTATTTAACACATATCACCTCCTCACCCTGATATAAATGTAGTTGTACAATAATAACAGTCTACAATTCCCAACAGTCTCTCTGTCCTATTTTTTTTTCCAGATTATTCTGTCTAGACACTTTCAAGCCAAAAGCATGGCCTTCTAAGATGAGCTTGCTTCTGAGGAATTAAACTTACGACTCCTTGAACTGGCAGAACTACTATTCCTTTAAACAAAACAAACAGTTGCCAGTTGCTGTCTCCCATTAAAAGGTATATCTCCATCTCTCTAGGCTAAGAAGCAGGGAAGTAATTCTGCTTGTTACATTCAGAACACGAAGAGGTCCAAGTCAGTGCCAAGACCGACTTGGAGCCAAGAACTAGACCTTAGTGCTTTTGCTATTCTCATAGCTCCATTTCCTCAGCAGAGAAAGCAGGACAATGTATCAGCTATCAGCTTCTAATCTTTTAACTGTAAGTCCTTCAGAAGGGGGGGTCCTTTGCTTTCTCATGTGACCATTACGATCTGTGTTTAGGGCGGTCCTTTTTGGAGCCAGGAGTTGGACTCCATGATCCTTATGGGTCCTGTCCAACTCAGAATATTCTGTGATTCTGTGTTTTTATCAAGAAAGTCACCTAAACGCAGATGCTATAGACCATCCTCTTGTTCATGCACCTACTGAATGCTTGTGGTAGCCTATAGAGACTGCTAATCTTGATCAGCTTTGTTTGCCAACAACTAATAACAAAAGCACAGTAAATCTATTTCAAACTGTTAACTAACTTAATTGCAGATTGGAAAAATGTTTACAAATAGTAAAAGAACAACTCTTATTCTGTCCCTCTAGGGGCATCAAGTTGAAGAATATCTACCAGAGAATCTAACAGATGGCCCATTTCCAAGAGGAGTATTACAGAGCAAAGGGATGCTAAAAAAAAATTTGGGACAATCACAGCTGTTTTGCAAATCTAAAAAAACAAAGAAAAAGAAAAATCAATAAAGCTCCCTCTGGGAGCCTAGAAGCCACATGGGCTAAAAAGCAGCAGAAAGTGGTATTAAACCATCTTTTTTAACCTCTTTTAATGTTAGTCAAAATGACTAACTTCGTGGATGAAATGTAAGGTATCTCTTTATATCTAAGTATTCGTTAATAACGTCTGAGAATTTCCTACCCTTAAGTAGATACATTGAGGTCTGAAGTTCAGGAAAATGTAGAAAAATCAGTGCTTCCTCCATAAAAGATCTTCAGTGAAAGCCTAAGAAGAAAGGTAGTTAACAGCAATCACACACAGTACTGGTAAAACACTCAAGCTATAAGGTGCATGAATAAGATCAAGGAATTCCAGCAGATTTGCTTAAATCCTGTAAATCCTGCTTAGGAGAATAGAACATCTAGTCCGCTTTGTGTAATTCTTTCTCCATCGTGCAATCACATACAGATCTCTGCAGCAATGTTCTTATACAGTGGGCTCAACACCAGGAGCAACAGAACCCAGCCTTCTTTTCTGCCCCAACAACAGCACCGTGAAGTGGTACAAGCCCTGAACTCACAAAGGACGTTACCATGTATATATGAACTATTAATGGAATGACCCCCCAGTATACATCACATCGTGGAACATGACATAAGCTTAATGTGAGATGAGGAAACTGCAGCAAGTGAAATTGCCAAGGACAATCAGTACTGGGAGGCCTTTCTGGTTACAGCATAGGATTCACAACCAAAAGTGCTGCTAGAGTACTTCTAAAAGAAATATTGTAAAACTTGAGTATATCTGAAAAAACATTCTCTGTCCTCCGTTCCACCTCCAAACAAACACACTCCTTAAAATTGTCAGGAAAAACAATAACTGAATTCAGGAAGCTGTCTATGAAGTAGTTAAGATCCAAGAATAAGCTGTCTACATTCATGAGAACTGAGAAGAATTTCAAAAGTAAAAATATAACAAAGTTGTTATTCTCTTGCAATCTTTTACACAATAAGTCCTTCACAGACTCTAGAATGATACATTTAGCACAGCACAGCTCCTAGCTTAAGAGCTGCAAAGCTATATTTAATATTGTAAATTTTAATACAAAGAAAACTCATAAATATAAAAGAATGTAGAATTCATTCAGTTCCTTACTCCCAACTTAACTCACCTCTTTCAGAAATAAAGAATAAGCAAAGCTGCCCTCAGAGGGCATCTTTTGGATTGGAAATGTTACATACAGAAGCGTGTTCCCAAATTCAGGTGTAAATAGAATATTCTTACTCATCCCAGCTCCTCTGAAGGACTCCTTTATGCCACAACAGCAACAACAGAATAAGTTACTCTGTGGGATAACTCATCAATGAGCATTAAAATAAACTATACAGTCATACACAGTCACAGTGTGCAAGTACCACTCTTTATCTTGATTTTTGCTTTTTCTTTATGCTCCAAAGACTTAGTGACATATATGATTATATTGTTAGTTCTCTGTGGCACTGCATTTTTCTTGCTATATATTTTAACCAGTTAGGTACTGGTCCTAAAACAGGAACCTACCTGCAGTTCTGTGGTACTCTAGTGAAAGTTAGCAAATCAAAACTAACAGTTAATTACACAGTTTCAGTACCAATACTTGTTTGAACTTTCTTCCCACCTTTTTTTTTTTTTTTTGTTTAACTGAAACAATAGAACATTCTGCTGTAGAATTTGATTCACCCATGCCAAATAACAGTCTTGCATCATTTTATTGTTGTACATGCAACCTAATTATCTGCCATGACACCACACTTTTCTCACCTGCAAACCAGGGGGTCTAAAACCCTTACCAATGCATTGTGTATTATCAAAGTATTTTGCTGGAGATCTCTTCCTCATTCCACAGCCTTCTTGCACATGAACGAGAATTTTAAAAATGTCAAGAGGAACCAAATTGTGTATACATACATGCAGGAGTACAAGTCATTAAATTATTATCAATTTTAAGTTGGCTCAGTGTCTAGGCCTGAACACTTATTGTCAGCAGCTTATAAGTTAAGCAGGAAGATTATGAACCAAAGAAAAGTCACCCTTAGCTTAGAAAATAGGTTTACACACATTCCTAGAAGATTTTATTTCACAGTGAGTACATTACTCCACACAGTGGCTGGTTGGACAACTCACTGCAAAAATCCTAAGAGCACAAGATCCAAGAACCTCATGAACAAACTCAGCCAACAATCAAGATGGATTTTTTTTTTCCACTCTGGAAATAAAATATGAAGTCAAGATCCACCCAGCAGTGTTGACAGACATCACTTGACATTAAACATTCATAAAACCCTTTTTTCATTTATTTTCCAAAAAAACCAACTTTTAACTGCTTGTCCATAGTCCCTTTAGCAAAGCACATTACACATAACGTGTAATATTAGGAAACCTCCTCAGCAGCCTGTTCACTTTGCTTGAAGGCATGTTTCCCTTGAGTGACAGAGTGTACTCGTCCTTTTTTTCCTTGCGCTCCTTCTGAAACAGAAAAAGAAAACTAAGAATATTACCAACTTATTTGCTGAATTGGCTCTGTAAAGACTAATAATAATTCTACTGGAATGCTTACTTGATAAGAATGCTGTTTCTTCAAGCAACATTCATAATAGCAGTTGGCTAAATAGTCACAAGGCTTCTAAGAACTGCATTAGGCTTCTTTAAACGATGAAATTAATGAGACACATGGAGAGAGAATCCTCACATATTTTCACTTAGCAATATTATAAGCCTTTAAAACCAATATAATACAAATTTGTTTTCTTTTAATGTTCTATTTTTTAATTTGCTTTCATCGTAATCTACCAAATAAAGCATGGACAGTTTCTCATTTATGCTGTCAAATGCAACAGTAAAAAGATACTTTATTAAATGACGATACTATTACTAAAAAGACTGAAAATCTGCCATCAGTTCAAGGACAAGTTTAGTACATGTACCTACTTTTAGACAGTTTTTGAAACTGACTTCATTTCAAACTTATTGCATTAGGTAAAAACTCAATATGGCGTTAGTAAAAAAATCACAGCTTTATGTCACAGCTCTAAATTGTACTCTCCTTCATTCAGAACTTTCATGACATATGGAGAAAAGCAATGTCTACTGTTGCTTCACGAGTGCTGAAACTTTAGAGATTAAAAACTGGAGCAAATTAAGAGAAATGGCCTAGGTTAGAACTGACCAACAGCAACAGAGCTCTACTTTTAGAATGTGAACACTAAAAGGACTAAATGTGATTACTGGTTCAGGTCTAGTTATAACGTACAAGACACCAGGTCCCTTCCTACCTTTCTTTACTAAAATTCTAAATACAAACAGAAGGGATTGTGTACTTGATGTACATCACCCTGAATTTCTCAAAGCACAGATCAAACTGTTCACAGAACACTGTGATGTTGGCACACAAAAAATGACTGAAGTTTTCTCCGCCTTCCCTACTACTGGACTTTAAGAATACAAAAGAGATTTTCATTACTTCTGCCCTTGCTACGCAGTCATAGAACGTCCGGATCTCCTCAGCACAAGCTTTGTCATTGAAGTCATTCTGTTTCCAGCAGGCCATCATTACTGACATCTCTGTAAGACAAGTTGCCTCTAGAAGGGAAAGACACAATTATAAAAGCTCAAGCATCTGAGATTTCATGCCAACAGCCCCCCCACAGCACATAGAGTTACCAAGAGAATTTTATGATGGGATAAAGGCATGTGAGAAGGAACAACAGTGAGGAGGATATCATCACTGCTTGGATTAGAGAAAAAAACTCCTGCCAGAAGGCTTTGCCCCATCAGAGCCATCTGCTCGTTACATTTTGATATAGCATTTACCTTAAGAATTTACACAAAGAGTATCATAAAATATAGATTTAGGGTTGGAGTATGGGAAAATGCGCTTTTTAGAAGAACTCACACACTAATTACATGGCACAAATTAGGTCCCCTTGCCTGCTGGTCTCGTCCCACATGCAAAGAGGCTGCCAACCAATTACCGCAGACGTTTTCTTTCGCTTTGCTTTTTTTTTTTTTCCTCCACATTTTCCACGTACCCTGCAAACACCTCCTTGTTGTATAGCAAAATTCAGGAGCTCCGTTCAGAGCACAAGGTTCCTCCAAGCACGAACTTGTCCTTGCCTCACCGCTATGACCGCTCCGCAGCGCGAGGCCCCCAGGGGGCGACGCGGCAGCTCTGAGGGGCGAGGCGGGAAAGCCCACCGCCGGGTCTCTACCTCACGGAGCCTCGGGACGCTGCCCCCCACGACTGACGGCCCGGCGCCGGTAACTCACCTCCCGCCAGCTCTCGGCGGTTCGCCACCTTGTTGGCCAGCACCAGCGGCCGGGTGGGACGGACGGCCGGCGGCCGCTTCCCCTGCCGCCACTGCCCGGAGACCAAACGGCCCACCCAGGCCGGGTACACGGGCGCCGCCATGCTCTTTGCGACAGGCCGTACGGCGAGCCGGCACGGGCGCCGCTCACGTGACCCTCCCGCGAGCACGCGCAGGGCTGCGGCGCGGCAGCGCCCAGCGGGAGCGCGCCGCCCTACTGCTGGCCGGCTGACCTGCAGCCTCGGCCTCGCGTCACCGTTCTGCTTTCCAGTCTGCGAAACTTAATGTTTCACACAAAAACCCGAGCAGTCTTTGACCTACTCAAGGAGATGGAGACGCTGGGCTTCTCGCCATCCTGGTTTAAACGGAACCACACCAACACCAGAAAGTTCTCTGTGCCATTAGCAGATTTTGCCGCAGCTGTACATGGAATATATTCTGGCTTATCTGACCATAATTGTGTTAGTTTTAAGCTAGTATTTTCTTACAGTCCAATTTAAAAATAGGAGAAAACACATTCAAGTAACTAAAAGATTTCTTTCGGTCCTTTTTTGGGAAAAATAAAACCTCATCTCCTTTGACTCAGTCTGACTGTTGGTTCGGAAGCAGTTCGCTTAGGGGTGTTTCTCTGCTCCCATGCTTTTCGATGGGACAGAAAGCAGCCATCTCCCTAGCTCGTGTGGCGGAGAAATACAGGCAGATGCCTCCGACTGTGCCTGGGGGCTCACGGCCCAACACTGCAGTCCAGCACACACAGGTGACACTTCAGAACAGCAGTCCTGCGAGGTTCAGCTGTGTTTTTGCCTCTCCTGCTTCTGTCTCTGATTGCCATTTTTCTCTGCTGCATTTGACTGCTGCAATTACCAAGCCAACTGAGAAACTGAACTGCAGTCATTGTAAATCACACTTGCTTTTTACAAATTACATTAGCTAATGGTGGCAGCACCTTCAGGTACATTCACCTTCAAAAGCTGATCTCTCTTAAACAATTCCAAGAAAAATGGAGGGGGGGCTGCAGAAGAGAAAGGCAAGCTACACAAGGAGAATTTTAATACCTTCCTGTCCCAGTTATTGCTCTCTGCATTATAAACTATTTCTTCTTCTCCTGGCATTCAGCCTCGGATTGGAGCATCAGCCTATGAAATTCCCAGGCAGACAGAATAATGTACTTGATGGCGCCTGCACACAGTATGCAAACATATCAGAAGCAAGGAACAAGCATTTGTTTTAACGGAGAATGTGGAACTACAGAATAGGTTTGTTACTCAATAGCTGAGTCTCCCTGTAGCCTGTGTTTTGTACAAATGGATGAGGCAAAAATTCTGATTTTTCAGGGGAAGTCAGAAGCCCAGTTCCCTCAACAAACCCCACAGATGTCTCACTATGAATTCTGAACACACATTGATAAAGAGCATGTGAAATTCAAATTGCATTTCTAACTTCTTTTTTGAATGAATACCACTGAAAGTTGAATCCCACCCTGCGTCTCAGCTGTGTTCAGTGTCAAAACCAAAATCAGTCACAGAGAAGAACTATCACCACTAGAACTGGAAAAAAAACCTATCACAAATGGAACGACAGCCAGTTACAATGCTGCAATAAATGCTATGCTGTAATTATGTGTAATGCTAAAAATGCTGCAATAAGATTCATCCTTGAAATGAGATTGCTGTCTTAAATATCTTCTTAAGAGATAAGAAATTACACCACGGATCTTTCTCTTTCTTGAGACCATCTAAAACTTCCAGGTACTTTCCAAAAGACAATTATAAATCAGATGTATTGGAAGAAATGAATAGAATTGACAATGTCTTTCTGAACTGCTTGGATCCAGCTTTTCTCAAGTAAATTCTAACATATTCACCCAACTTTATCCTGAGTGCCCTAATTCTTCCCATACAACCTCACAATGCCCTTCCCTCTCGCTATTTATTCTCACCTGTCTCACCCTGATCTCCTTAGCCTCACCGTTAGCAGTCCTAGGGCATATCAGTTTAACTGGAGATGCCTTAAAAGATATCCACACTTTAACTTGCAGTACAATTAACCATTTTGTGAACATTAGGATCAGTTCAGGCTTAGTCCCCTCCGCTGGACACTGTGCTTGAATGATAGAAGCTCTTAGTGCATTCATTAGCACAAAGTCAGAGGCAATTTGTCAGGTCACTGTCCTAACACTACAACACTAGCCTACCTTATCCTGAGCTATCTTAACCGTATCAGCCTCCTGTTTACCTAAATAGATCTGAGCTGCCATCCCTAATCCCTAATTCTCAGACCTATTCAATTTCAGTCCATCCTACTACAAGTTACCTGATGTCTCCTTACTTGTTCAGAGATGTTTCTAAGCATCGTGGACTGTTTTGATCCATTCCAAGATCACCAAAACCATCTTTAGCTGAGCTGCTTCAGCATTAGATGAGTCTTTTCTGCAGGAAGAGCACATAGAATACAAATTAAGATGCCAGTCCTATCAGGGCTCCAGAACAAACCCTGCAGTTCCACTCCTCTCCACTCTTCCTAATCTCTCTGCAAGGCCAGGTATCTTTCGCTGCCAGCTTAGAGACACTGAATCATAAGAGAAGTGCACTCTGTTAAAACTTGACATAGGCTTTGGCTCAGCTGGTCCTATCACTAAAAGGATTTTGTCTCTGATTAATTTTGACTTGTCAGTAGAAGTCTCCGGGCAGAATGAAGGAAGGTAACTTCCTAGATGTTTCCAATTAACGCAACTTCTCAGGAGGTGCCTGGAGATCTATCAACAATCTTAATTAAATTCAACCAAATAGATGACAGCTAATTATTAAGGGAGTGGCTCTCTTGGGACGATAGGTGAAGTGTGAGTATGCAAAGATGTTACGGGGGGGCATATGGCCACTTGTCTAACATAGCAAAGCCTGTTTAAACAGCGATGTCCCTGACAGTGTTCCAATTCAATTTATACTGCTTCCAGAACTGTAGGAGTTATTTGTTCCTTCACTATCAATTGTTTGCCAAAATAGTTAAAACTACCCTCTGTCAAGGTATTACAGAACTTTTGCTGTGATTCTCTAGATGCTGCCACTTTGCAGATAGAAAGACTCTCTTTCCTTTTTCTCCTCAAACACATCCACAGTCATCTGGTTCTTCAAGTGTTTCATTCTATTTATCATTATAGACCCAGAGATCATTAGCTCAGTTTTAGAATTCCTAACTGAAAATTACTACAGTGAAAGAAAGAAAAAAACCTTCCTCTTTTCAGATGCAAAAATCAATATTTGGTATCAAATCAGTATTCTCCACTGAGGCTGTTTTCTTAGAAATTGCAGTCCTACTGAAAGAACAGAAAACACAGATTACCAGTTCAACAAATAAAATACCCACCTTCTTCCTGAAAAAATCAAGCGGCACCCGATACCACAGTTTTGGCAGGAGAAAGATAACTTCAGCTTGTCCAGTGCAATGAAATGGATTACTGGATTTTTAACCTTCAGTCAGACATTTCTTTCCCTCACCTCTCAGGGGCCATAAATTATCCCAATTTTTCAAGTCAATTCAGCATTAATAGAATCTACTACAGTTTCATATGTATGCAGTTATGAGGACAAGGTATCTATTTTTAGAACGTTAATGCTAATGAATAAAGCTGTCTTGACAGCTCTGAAATCCTCCCTCTAGTCACACAATAAACAGGAAAATGCATGATGAGCAGGGAAGTGACTCACTCTGGCTAGTAGAGGACTGCCAAAGGGTGCACATGGGTAATTTCTTTATCACCTTAGTATTTGATAACCTTTGCTAAAATTCCCAAGTAGGCTCAATTGTGGTTCTGTGATTATGGGCCCCTGTGCACTAAGAACAGGGTTAACAGAAGATGGCTGTATACAGCGTTTCTGATAAGTATTATAAGCCTTCCAGCAGTCACAACATGAGTGATGACATTCAGCCTCTATTTAGCTGGTTTGGATTTAAAGCAGAGAAGTAAGAAATCTACTGCCAAGAAACCTGCACAAATAGACACCTTTCTCCAAACTATGAATAACTGCTGCAGTGACCTTCCTCCTTGCCTGCATTCATGTATTTGCATTAGTAGAAAGACACCTAGGATTGTAAATTGAATTCACTTTGGCTAACGTTGGCAGTAGTCTTTGGACATTAAAGAGCAATCCTCTCAAAATGAATTACAGTGTAAATTGATCTCAAATTCTTTATTCCTGGTAGAAGGACTCAGCCTTGAAGACACCCATTCTCAGAAAGAATACTTTGACAAGACAGTAGGAAAATAAAAGAAGAATAAATTATATCAAAAATTATGTCAAAAATAGATTATCAGTTATAAGTATTTTAGCTATAAGGGAGTGCTTGTAGAGCAATGGGTATTCTTGTTCCAGGGCTGGTGTAAGCTACAAGCAAACTGGACAGTGACAAGACGCGTATGCCCTTCAAAGCTTTAAGATACAGCTTCTCCTTCTGTGTCCTCCGAACAGTTGAAGAAGATGAAAGCAAAATGTTGATGAGGATCAACATTTTTCTGTTCACAGGGCTGGATGTTATGAAGGTCAGCCAGCAGCCTGGAACAGAACTACAACCACATCTCTTCAGCCAGCTGGGAAGATAACTGCTCCTCCTGCTCCTGAGGAGCTTGCCTGGTAGCTACAGAAGAACTTCATACCACACATTGGAACAACCCTTTCAGCTCTAGCACAATGTACACAATAAGTGAAACAGATTTAGTGTATTGATGAACATAATCACACCGATTACAAATCAGAGGCGTTAATTGTGACATACAGGAGAAGCTACAGGGAGCACAGTCTAACACTGCAGGTACAAAAGAAACTCTGGTATCTGCAGATACAATAGAAACACAAGGTTTGGGGTGAATATCTTGGCTTCGCTCTGTGAAGAGTGGTACCTGGTACTCATTACCTTTTGAGAAACTCCTCACTTGTGAGACTGAAAAAACACAGCTGTATCTAGGAAGACATTAAGAGCTTGGAAGAGAGAACTGTTGAAACTGCCTTGTGATTTTTAGATAACTAAAAGTTGTATTTTGAAAACTTTAGAAAAAAACCCACAAAGAATATTTGTGATAAAGTTAGTTTCATACCTGTGCTACTTTCTCACCTGTGTTAACAAAGGATATAGTGATCAGAGAAGTCAAAAATACTCATATTTGGCAACAGTCATGAAACTCAAACACCTTTTGTACTATATATACACAGGGAAAAAAAAACACAAAATAAACTTGTTGGACTGGTGGATGTAATATACTGAGTAAAGATAAAAAATAATGGTGAAGGAATACTTGATTTCAAACCAATAAATTCATACAGAGGGTCTCAAAGGTTAAATTTTTACTAGCTACTCTTAAGTTTGTACCACCAGATCTTCAATTCTATTGTCAGTCAACAAAGACATGCTCATTTTGCTGTGCAGACAGGTGAAGCGGGGAGTTAGGACCTCACTAATCAAGAATTAAGCAAGTGCTATGGTACACTTGCCTGCATTGGTACTTACTCATTATTACTGCAAGGACAATACATAATGTATATAATGTCCAATTTTGGTAATGGCAGATAAATTATTAAAAAATAATAAGATACCTAGACTTGGCAATACATCCCCCACTTCTAGAAATTCTACTTAAAGAATAAATGCAAAAAGCAGAATGTGCTAGCATGTGGACCTTACTTTTACATTTAGTATTAGAAGCAAGATCAGAATTTCTCCTGCCTATAACAACAAAACTTAGATAAGAAAGGTTTTTGAAATATAGCTAATTAAGAAGACAATCAATGAGGACCAAATGCTTTTCTATACAGATACATGAAATGAAGAGAATCTCGAGTAACTGGAGAAATTTGTTCAGACAATTTATTTAAATCTCATTAAGCAGTTCAGTAGAAGTTTATATTCAGAGCTAAAGCAGTCTTAATTTTCTTTATTTACTTCTCAAGCACGCTGTGACCACTTCAATCCTGAATATACAGATCTATATTTTAATCTGATCTGAATAATCCACTTGAAAAAATAATTCATATATATTCACCTAATCAATCCTGTAGCCCAAGTACCTGAAAAAGAGGAATGTATACTGGTGAACAATTTTAGCTGAAGAGCCACTTGTTACTTAATTACAGAAGAAAAAAAGACTTGTACAAAAAGTCAGGTGAGATCAGTGTATTGCACATGCATTTTCCATACCCACAAGAATGCAGGGATTAATTGCGGGTCTTCATTGTTCATAACGCCCAGATTTTAACACTACAGCATTACTGTATCACCTGAGAAACAAACACTGAGATGAGTGTCATCACCTATAAGAATATTATATCCATAATATACCCAGAATATTATGAATTGTAATTTGAGAAAAAATGAAATTAACTGATCCATACGCAGCTTAACAATAGAAGACAACGTAACAGAACGTGGATTTAGTCCTCTTCCCAAATTGTAGTAATAGGCTTCTGGCTTCTCCCAGCAACACCCGGACTGCCTTACAGAATGAAATCACCTCAAAGATCCAATGATCTACCTTAGACATAGTTACACTCTGGCTATTTATCCAGTAGTTATTTCCAAAGAGAGAGAAGTGAGAAATAGCATCAGACTGTTAGAAATATCACTGAAGTGTGCGGCCTGTGAATTTAAACCCCTCAGACAAGAAAAACAAGTCTCCTTCCAATCCAAGATCAATTATTTCAGGAAGGTACCAGCATGGCAGGTAACGGCACATATTTTTTATTTATTAAGAGATACAGGTTATGCAGCAAAGATGATTTATATGTCATCACTTACTTTTAGGAACTCCAGCACAGACCAGGATCCTACTGCATTAAGATTAGGTACAGACACAAAGCCACCTCCGTGTTCCCCATTCTGATCATCCATCTCAGCACAAAAAGACTGCAAGGTTCATCTCCAAACTGGAGGGAGCACTGGAAAAGCACCACCATTAAAATGTATTTGTCTTTGCAGAAAGATGCAGATACTCAAGAAGAACAAATCAAAGGCCTTTGAATCGCATTAAGGAGAAATCAATTAGTCAAGATTATTGTTCAGTTTTAAGATCTTACAGAAACTTAAAAGAAACAAAGCTGCTCATTCTACCCTGCTTCTGCACAATACCAGGCAATACGCTGCTGTCAAATATCTGGTTCAAAGTTGTGAATTAAACAATCTCGACTCTTGTCCTATTTGTATGTGTCACCCGCAAAGTTAGCGTAAGAGAAAAATGAGGCAGAGTAAGTGACCTGCCTGTAGCTGTTCAGTTACCCTGAGAAGGAGGAATGTTTGAGGCACATTTACTTGGAGAGAAGAGACTTTATTGCTGCAATTTCATAAGGCACAATTGCTCTCCACAGACATTAGTCTTCTGGAATTCATTCACTTGAAAAGCTATTTGTTAATATCATGTAAAAGTATAACTTAATGAGGAGAGTATGTGGTAAAATATAAAAAAACAAGTATTTTGGATATAAAAAAGTTCCCGAAATAACTTAGGGCACTTGAGCAGAGTCTGAAATACATTCCTCTGAAATCAAGGAAGCCACAGGGAAGCAATACCAAATACAAAATTCCTCTTCTACTCCGCCTGCATGTCAGGAGGAGCTTCACACCACAGAGCTGAAATTCAGATACAAGCAGTTGCTAACATCTCCACAGCTGAAATCACAACAGAGAATCACTCACTTCATGCACCAGAAAAACAGTCTGCAAAAGTTTCTTCTATTTCAAGGCAAACATCTGGAGAGAAGTAAGAATTCTCAGTCACAACCTTCAACGCAATTTTCAAACCAAGCTCTTACAGGGATGGATCAGTGTTGCCTGGTCCTCTTGAGAAAAATCTCATGCATATAATCCCAAAATCTTCCCTGATGTGACTCATTGTGATGAATCATAGCAGTGAGGGCCTCACCCTGATCAAGGCTTTGCCAATAGTCCTGAAGCCACATCTCTTTCCAACTGAAACAAATGAAGAAAAAAAGAGACGTCATTAAAACAAAAAACAAGAAAAAAAAACAACACAAATGTGTCTGAGCTGTAATAGCATTAATATTTGTTTCTCCCCTTCATCTAAGAGGAAAACAGTTCCAGGAATACATGACAATGTATGTTGTTTCTGTGCCATTGTGCTCCAACCCACCTGAAGTAACTGGCTATGAAAATTCTCTATGGAAAACAAGCTTGCTATTAGCTTCAGATCATTTTAGAAATATCAGCGTGTGACTAGCATTAGCCAGAGAAACTAAATAATGAATTGTTAGGAAAAAGCCTGCTATCAAAATAAAATTCTGTAGTCCTCATACAACTTTAAGAGTAGCCTTCCATGGCCAGAATGTGTGCTACAGATACCAAGGATCTTTTCAGACAAGCCATTAAACATTTACAGAATTCCTGTTAGTCAGTACAAATGCAGGTAATGCACGACAAGAGAGAGCAATCCTGACATCCCCCAACTGGCTCTACTCTTTTCCTCCAGACCATTTTCAGTGCACCCATTCTCAGCCTTCTTATTGCACAGACAACACGCCAATTCCCTTCCATTCACGTAAAGGCGGACGACATCTCTCATTTCTGTTGTATCGAGGTGTGGCAACAATTTGTTCAGCTAGTAACTACTCTCCCTCTTTCCCGACAGACTGATTATCTCTTCTCTACTACAGCTGCTACCCAGCCCCATCAAATCAGCACAAATTCTGTACAGACCAAATGTGATGCTCTTTTTAATCTGCTGCCATGAGCACTTCTCCCTCACAGACAGAAGCACAGTACTTTGACATTCACTCTCGACACCATACATTAAAGCCAGCATGACTGCACTGCCCAGAAACAGATCTTAGCCACTATTCCAGGAAAAGCATATAAAATGCAGAACACGTTACAAGCACTTTCAGTCTGAAGCAGCACAAAACTTGTATTCCATGAGAATTTGTTTTTTGTAGTTAATAGAATCATCTTTGGTGGGACATTTCTGCTCAAAATTAACCTGTTAGCATCAATTACAATATGAAGGATCACAGAGGCTTACTTTTGCATACAAAAACATCTGCCTACAGCTTCCTTTGTAAAATGAAGCACTCGGACACACTGTGAGACCACTCTGCTTCACCACTCAACTCTTCAACCTTTGCTCAAGGAGCACCAATGTGAGTTACATGTTTTTTGCAGCAGTGAGTAAGGGCACCCATTAGTGAGTACCCTCACCCAGGCACGAGGCCAAGCAGCAGTGGGGGACAGAAAGTGACTGTTCAGAACATGGCTGAATTCCATCACAACACTAAGAGAAATCCCAGTATCCCAATGAATGTTTTGTCAAGCATGTTAAATAAGAACTTTTGTATTTTTCTTTTCATACCACTCTTCCTGTTTCCTACTGTTTCTGAAGAAACAAGATGCATTCTGATTCTATAACTTGGACAAAAACTGGCACACCAGGATGAACACAATTGCAGAAATCCCCTGAAACTACCAACTACATGCACCTGGAATGTTACTACCACGAGCTAAGGATCCACCTTTAATCCTGGCTGGTTACTCATTTTTACTGCAAGAAATACCTTGCACTGTATGTGTGGCAAATCTGATACTCTTCTCAACTGTGTTTTTCTTGGTCCTAAATAAACTGTGACATCACCATAAAATGAAACTAGTAAAACCATGACAATTTCAAAACTTTACTGAAGGCACACTGGCTTTTCTTTTCTTGAAAAGATGAAAGGGGAAAATATATATATATATACACACACTACCACAGATTAAAACTGTTCAGGTGACTGGAAAGGTATTGTGACACAGTCTTCTTATATTTATCCTGGAAGGCTGTGAGGAAAGCAAATCTCTGGGATCCCCCAAACAAAGCACTCCCTGCCCCCACCTTTGGGAAATGACTTCATATTGTGGAAATAAACAAAACACTTCCCTTCACAAAGGTGAGAGAATTGAGACACCATAATCCAGTGCAAGAATAATTGTAGATTGCAGTTCCTACCAAACATATTTCCATCATGAGGAGTGCTGCAACTCCCCTGTTTTCTGCACAAAGCAGACAAGAGTTTTATACAGTACACTATATAGTGACTGACTTCATCCCCACACTCAAAGCTAAAGGACAACAAAACAAAGATTCAGTGATGTGCTCATACACTTGTTAGAAATATTCAGTCAACTCAGCACATTTGTCAGTACAAAAAACTGGCACCTGTGAATAAGATTTAGAGCACACATATGTGCACAGCATAACCATATAATAGGATTCTAACTCCACAATATCGAGACTTGATCTGGGTCTGTTGTTTGCTGCTCCTGAAGCCACCAGAACCCACAGAACATTCACAGTCAGACTTTCTATGTTGCATACATTTTGCCATTTATATCCCTGCCTTATTTTTCCACAATAATGCTTTGTAAAGAAATAAATTAATGATTGATGGCTCAGTAGATGATTATCTAAACTGATCGAGTCGTTCTCAAAATATTCCTGCAGAATATTTAAATATTTAAACATTACCTGAACATGTTCTGCTAGCAATTTCGTATTTTTGTTATTTTATTTGTAGTGATCACATTACATTTTGGAGATATAAACTGTGAAAGCTCAGATGTTTATGGGACAGAAACCACAATGCTTCACTGGAGATCCTCTTAAAGAAGCCCCAGAAGGTATATATATGTATCTTTCTAAAGCAGATGGCAGATAACGGACAAGTTTCCCTAGTACAATATTTTGGAGACACAACTTATCTATAAGCAGTGGGAGAATACCATATTTCAGCAAGACATGGTAACTTCTCTGGGATGCAACTGTAGTTTGGGTTATGGACCATCTCTACAAAACTCTGTGCTCATGAGCATTGCACAGGAAGTTGGAGTATTTTAATGTGCATTAAGAGGCATAGGCACCTCATGCTATGTCTTCAAACTTATTTCTCTACTGCCATCTGCTGCTCAAGTACAAGAAAATTTATGAAGAACAGAATGCCAACTTACACAGACTAGGGTACTACAGAGCACATGATAAGGGAAAAGCACATTTTGCTATCAGGACGGATAAATCAAAACCAACCTCAAGAAAGCAAAGGACTACAAAGTCATTTACAGGTCTGTTTTACATACCAGCATAACTTTTCTATTATTCAACACAAAAAAATTAACTGTATCAAGAAAAATGCTTCTTAGTGACATACATGACAAGTTTTGTGGAATAGGGATATCCTAAAGAAACTGAATTACCTCAGCTTACTTTTCCTTCTTTATTTCTGCTGACCATTTTCAAAAGCACCCAAACATAGGAAGAAATAGCTCCCTGCCCTTTCCTCTAGTTACAGCAGATAGATATCCTTACAAAAATTTTTTTAGACCTTCAAATCCACACAGAATTCAGCTTTAGGTTACAGAGTATTTGAAAATTTGTTTCTGTTTCCTCTACATTTTAACACTCCTAAGTATTCAAGTCCTCAGTTTAAGAAATTATTAAGAAAACTCTAAACCGATATAAGTTATGATAGAGTATACTAACAACTTCTTTCTGGACAGTGCATCAGATCTTTTCAGTATTTTCATAAAGTCATTAATCCTACATTGGGACTAACAGCAGCACGTTGCAGTGTTGCAATTGGTTGTCTGATGGCTCAGAATTGCAGACATTTGAATATATCCCTAGACGGAAATTGTTGCAGACCACGCAGAGAACAATGACAAACACGGGGGAATCCAAGTATGTCACACTAGCTATGTCACACACACTAGTATGTCACACACACTATGAACTACAAAGAGCACACATGTTTTAGGAACTGCAGAACTGCAACAACCCTTCCATCCAAAAGCTGATGCTTCAAACACCGTCCATGGCAAAATTGAGGTTTGGGAACCCAAACACTGACTCGGTTTGTACCAAGTCAGTACAAACACTAAGGATTAAACACACCAGGAAAAGAAAAACAATCTTTTTTTCCCTGTCAAAATTAGTTGGCTCTACGTTGGTGTCCTTATTCCTGTCTGACAAACTTCAGGGCAGCTCCAGAGCTGACTGCAACAATGGCAGATTCCAACAAATGTACCAATGCCTGCAAAGAAGGACAAAAATACACAGAGTCTATTTTGTGCTGCAGGGCCCCTCTCCTGAATAAATGGGATTGTGCCCTTCAACACAGGCCAAAATTTTGTTCCGTTGCCACAAAATATCTTGTGAAGTACAGTGGATGAGCCATACTTTTGCTTTAAAAGAAGCCAACAGGAGTGAATGAGGCCCACGCCAAACACTGTGGCAACTCTATTCTTCAGGTATTCATTCATAACGAGATACAGAGCTTCTCCCAAACATAGGCTAGCAAGTGGACCTCTGTACAGGAGGGATGTGGAGATGCTGGAGTGGATCCAGAAGAGAGCCATGAAGATGCTCAGAGGGCTGAAGCACCTCTCCTATGAAGAAAGGTTGAGAAAACTGGTCTTATTTAGCTTGGAGAAGAGAAGGCTCTGAGAAGACCTCACTTCCAGCCTTCCAGTACTTGAGGGGAACTTATAAGCAGGAGGAGGACCAACTTTTTAGAAGGTCTGACAGTGACAGGAGAAGAAGGAATGGCTTTAAACTAAAAGAGGGGAGATTTAGTTTAGGTGTTAGGAAGAAATTCTTTACTCAGAGGGCGATGAAGCACTGGCACAGACTGCCCAGAGAGCTGTGGATGCCCCATCTCTAGAGGCATTCAAGGACAGGCTGGATGGGGCTCTGAGCAGCCCGACCTGGTGTTTGGCACTGGGTAATAATTAAGGTCCCTTCCAACCTAAGCCATTCTCAGCACACTGCACTGAATAACACTCTCCCTCCAAGCAGTAAACAAAATAAGGGAAAGGTAGACAAAAGAGAAACAAATTGCCCGAGATCACAGAGCATCAGAACATATGATTATGGGTCTCTCAAGCCACTAACCAGCACCACCGGCCAAGCTTTTTTTTCAGCCTCAGTGTTACAAAATACTAGCAGAACTGCCATAGCACCCACAAGGCATAATATAAAGTGTAACTGGAAATGTATTAAGTATCAAGTATTAAGCTTTAATTATCAAATATTATTACAAATTACAGCCACTATTATTTAAAGCTTTTCTGCTTCAAAAAGTATTGTACTGGTAAATTACCTGTCTTCCCGAGGGAGGTCTTCAACACTTCCAAACCCAGGGGTTGGCATAGGGCATCCCATGTGCTGGAAATGAGCTATCTGAGGTGCGGGAGCTGGAGTTTTCCCACCAGACTTTTTGTGTTCCTGCTCTGCTCTGACCCGGGCGTTCTCCCTGTCACAGATGAAACACTCGAAGCCATTCAGGTAATTGGGCAAAGTCATGTCATTCACACCCCACTCCCGCCTCTCCAAGTTCTCTAGCAAGAACTGGTTTTTGATGCCATCAAGGTTTTTATACTCTAGGTACTTCATATATTCCTCTCCATTCTTGTCAAGGAAATCAAGGTACTTTGCCAGCTCTCGGGGGCTCTCAAAGTCATCAATAAGAATGATGGAGAGGTTGTTTGGCATCCAGTCCCGCACGGCCGGGGAGCCTCGGTATACTGGGACAGCACCCAAATGCATTGGACGCCACAGCTTCTCTGTCATGTAGTCGTTACATATGGCATTCTCCAAGGCCAGGTGGAACTTGTACCTGGCAATAAAAGCCATGAATTCGGGATCTTCTGTAGTGGCTGTTGAAGTGTCTCTCAGTCGCTCACTGGGAAGCTCGCGGTTATGAAGGCATTTCCCATAGGAGTCAACCTATAAAATAACCAAAATAACAAGTCATCTTTACAGAGTGATTTTTGTTGCCTGGAGCTCATAGTCACAGAATCACAGAATCACAGTCCTCCTCAAATTCCTAACTTTAAGCAGTTCCTAACTACCTCAGTTGAGCCTCACTTCACTCCAACTTCATTCCATTGAGATGTCTCCTAGATTTCCACTTTTCTTATAACAGCTTTAGTCATAAACTGAATGCTCAGTCTCAAAAGCAGCAGAAACTACACTACAAGTAAGGTAGAGGACAGGTGGAGAAACAACATTTTACAGAAGAAAAAAAAAACAAAACGTATTTATTAGAGAACAAAGTAGAAACTTAACAAGAGTTAAGAAAGGGCATTCAGCTTCCTCCATGTTGGTTTAAAAGTCATATTTCTACTTTGTAAGGAGCAGGCCTTTTCCAAGCAATGATTTCACACAGCTCCCAGTCTCAGCAGTTTGGCAAAACTTTCCATTTGTTAGACTGAAAAAAATGATGGATGCAGGGAGCTGGAATAGTACTGCGGAAAAACAGAGAGTACACTTGATCCAGGGTCTGCTTTGTGCTTTGACAATACAGAGGCAGGTTTCTAAAAAGATTTTGCCTTTGCTTTGTTACTGAACAAACGATGAACTTGCTTAAGGAAGTAATCACTGCTAACAGAAACAGCAGAACCAACTCAGAAGAAGACGTTTCTAAGATTCCCCCTATGGACCATCCTTTAGTTTTTAAGAAAAGAAAGCACTAAATCAGTTTCCACCCCAAAGAAGCGGCGCTGTTTCAATTCGTGAAGCTGCTCTGCGCAGGCAGCGCCCCAGCAGAGCCGACCACCACAGGCCCAGCAGAGCCGCACAGCAAGGCAGACAAGGCGCAGACTCCAGACACGGCAAACTCGCAATTGCGCGCCCGTTCTTGTAAGCGGGAGCAAGGCTCGCCAACGGACCCGCAGCCTTCCTTCCCTCCCCTCACCTAACGCTCCAGATTCCAGCAGCGCGCAGCACTCAGTCGCAAGATCTCAGCCGGCCAACCCCATCCCAGCAGCTGCCCAGTGGCACGCGATCAGCCTGGGCCGCGCCGCGGGAAGGCAGGCGGCCGGTCCTTCTGTCCAGCTGGCCGCTCCCCGTCACGGCTGGAACTCGGCTAGAGCCGAGGACAAACGCGCCCCGCGCCGCCGCACGCACCTGGATGTACTTCATGAGCTCCCGCACGTAGCGGTCCCTGTCCGAGGGCACGTCGCAGTGGGACTGCACGTACAGCACCGGGCCGTAGCCCCGCCGCCGCCACGCGTCCTTCTCGGCCAGGGGCAGCGCCGGGCCCCGCAGGTAACTCGTGCCGGGCAGCCACTGCAGCGTCAGCGGGTAGTCCGACTCGCGGCGGAAGGTGGCCGTGTAGTTGAAGAGGCGGATGCCGGGCGGGTGCGAGAGGAGGAAGTTGTTCATGGGGGACTCCTCGTGGAACAGCGCCCACGTCTGGTGGGGCAGGCGGGGCAGCGGCGCCTCGTAGGCGCGGAAGTCGGTGCCGTAGAAGATGAGCGCCCTGGTGCGGCGGTGCCGCGCCGCCCGGCGGCTGCGCGTGACGAGGCAGGAGCCCCGCGGGCAGTCGATGCGCTCCGTGTCGCCGGGGAAGTGCGGGAAGAGGCTGCCGCTCCACCACAGCAGGATGGGCAGCGCTCCGTCGCCCCGCGCGTCGTCGTTTCCCGGCCCGCGGTACGACGCGGCGGCCGCGAAGGCCGGGCCCGGCGGGACGGCGGCCCGCGCCCAGCCCTCCGCCCCACACGGCGTCCCTGCGTCCCCCTGCCCGGGCTCTCCGTCTCCTTCCCCCTCCCCCGCGGCGGCGCGGCTCCCCGCGCCCCACGCCAGCGCCAGCGTCACCCAGAGGCAAGCGGGCCCCCGCCGCGCAGGGCGGCCCGGCCCTCCGCCGCCCATGCCCCGCCGCTCGGCCCGCGCCGGCCGCCCCGCCGCCAGGAAACGGCCGCGCCGGCCCCGCCCTCGGGCGGCGCTGCGTGAGGAGGCGCGCGGGCAGCGGCCGGCGGGGCGAGCGGCGGGCAGCGCGCGTCTGCGCTCTTACGTGAAGAGAACGCACGTCCGCCCCGCCTCCAACGCGGCGAGCGTTCGCGCGGGCGCCGCCGGAGAGCGGGCCGAGCTCGGCTCCGTCCTGCCGGAGACTGAAGCAGGGCTCCTTCCCGGCGGAGCCGCTGTTCTGAACAAGCTCGCGGGTAGCTGCTCTCCTGCACGAACCTGGACATAACCCCTGTGGTACAGAAATGAAGGGAAAGTGGGTATTTGCAGCCCGCTCGCTGCAAAATAAAAACCTCGCTGAGATTAAGCAGCACCGTTTGTTGGCTCTCGTTGAATTTCTTACCGCCGTTCCCAAGAAAGAAAGGACCAAAGCTGCTCTGCAGAAAAGCAGGTCGTGAAGGAGCACTCGGCCAGGCTGCAGCCCTTCCCCTCTCCTCCCTCCCGCAAAATACAGGGTTTGGAAAAATAAGCAGTGTTTATTTACTAACAATGACATAAAATACATCTTAATATATTTTTATTTCTTTACAAATTAAAAGATGCATTGGAAAAAAACAAGTGAAGAAAATGAAAGGTTCATTTATGATCTCATTTTCACCCCCCACGCCCCTCAGTATTAACACTAGAAATTAGTATCTGTGGAAAATTGTGGTTGCTGAGCCTTATATTCCTAGGAAGTTTTTCCCCTTCTGGTTAAAAATCCTCCAGTAGCTCTTTTGGTTGGAGGCAATGCATGGAGTTAAACAGCCACATTCATACAAAAACAAGGTTTTGTCAACTACGTTGTCAGAGTTTCTCCATACTCCCTTTTCTATGTAGTGATGGGAGGGAAGACAAATCAGCAGCATTGTAAGAAAAATGGATTTATATACATGCTACAAGGATATGGAACTAAAACCACAGCCAGATATTTTCCTGATCCTAATAAGAACTTTTCTCTGAAACATCTAGCCCAGACAATAGCTCCTCTAACCACCCACAATTCTTTCTCCCCTTTGTACTGCTCAAACTCCAGGGAAGTTTAAGAACACTTGTTCAGTGCCCAAACTACTACACAATCCTCCTTCCCAAAGTGAAGAATCAAAGCCCTTGAAATTCTGAATCTGGTTTGCACTTGCTCCTTCTTCACAGGAGTCTTCTCAACCACCCCTGCAGAATGGAACAGCAGAGCGGCCAATGCGATGGACTCGTGTCTGAGGTATTTTGGTTTAACAAACAGGCTTATAAAAAGGCTTTGTGCAAGCTGATCAGTAGGTAGAACAGAGAGAGGGTATAAACATCCAGTGATGAAACTTCCCTACGACCAAAACCCTCCCCAGTAACTGAAATCAGGTACTTGTAATACCTAATACAGGGCAGTCTAAACCTCAGCTTTTGTCCCCTGTTCCTTATAATACAGGGCACAAAGTTGTCTCAAATTTGGGTCAGTAGAACTCATACTCCTGCTTGTCTGCTATGAATCACAACAGCATGGCCAGAAGTGGCCACTTCCTTATCATCCAGCTCCCACACAGCCACAAATCACCTTGTAACAAGTATTTTCTGCTCAACTTCAAGAGGATTTTGCTCTCACTGCCATCTGGATAGATTCTTCTGCAGAAGAAGAGGCCACAGAACATGGACTGAGTGGGATATTATCACAGGGCTGTGAAATGAGAAAGGATTCACCGCTCACACCAACAAGTAGCACTGATTACCCCTATGCTGTTCAGAAGCTGTTGACAGTTATTGAACTACTACTTCCTCCAGTACAAATCTGCAGATCAACTTACAGTACAGGGAAGAAAGCAGAAATAAATCTGTCCTGCTGCCTACTGGCTTTGGTTTTTTT